GGCTCCCGTGACTCAAACCTGGTGCCCAGCAGCATCGCGTCCCTATCATACCCTGAGCGGAAGGCATAGGCCACGGCGGTCACCCGGGTCTTCAGTCCCTTATGCGCAGCACAACCCCCACCTCCAGATTGGGGAAAGCCCCTTCGACTTGGAGCGTCTCTCGGCTCAGCTATTTCATCCCAGCGAAACCTTCCGCGTTCGTGCTACGATATGCATCTAACTCTGAGCGGCCTTCCAACTCAAGCAGGGAATCCCACTGGGGTGCAGCCTCAGATCCTCCCTGTGCGGAGGGAAACACTTCCCACGCGTAGAGATGTCATTGCTGGGTTATTCTTGGGTAAAGGGCTGAGCTTCCCCATCCTCTCCCCCTGAACTCCAGATATGATGTGAAATTCTACCGAACACCCCTTCTTCCGCCAAAAGTAAAAATAAAAATACAAACACAAACAAGTGAGAAAGTATAGACAAGAAATTATTTAGTAGTTTAGTACAGTCCGCTTCCTCACCCCCCAACACAAAACTCGAACTTCTGGTTGGACAGCGTCAGATGTCACTGTGGTGACCCCAGCCTCTGTTTGCAGTTCCAAGTCTTCCGTGTAGGCGTCACTGCTACTGGAACTTTATATGAGGATGACCTGAACATTTTCTATCTTTTCTCACATACGGGTAGTTACTGGGAATATCAGAGACAAGCTATTATTAAAAAAGTGCCTCCAATCCAAGTAGTCTGTGGTGGGAAGTGAGGGGGCAGGCTCTATCAGTGATATTTTTATCAACTCTGGTTTAAAAAAAATTCCTCAGATGGTCACATTATTTCAAGACTTCAACATCTTTCACAACCGACAGTCCCTTATCTCATCCCCTCCATTTATTCCTCTCAAGTCACATTCTAATCAACGTTACTATCTCCAACTTCCCCGATACATATACAACAAAAGTATGATTGCAAAGTTCTGTTAGTAAAAGCAGCTGAATAGGTATAGTAATCTGACAGTCTGTGTTTCCCTTCCATCCACCACGCGTGTATATCCCCTTCCCACTCTTTCCTTCCCTCAGTCAGCAGAATAAAGGGGCTGGAAAACGTTGGTGTGGTTCCTTTGAGAGTTGATTCCCTATTGGATATGCCTGGAGGCCTTGGGGATGACTGAGAAGTTCTGGAGTTTGGATCAGTGGCAGAAGCAGGTAACACATCAGGGAACCAGTCAGCCTACGACAGGAGGGGACAAAAAATGATGAATAGTTTCTGATTACAATGCTCAGCTAAACTGCTACAGTGGCCCCTATGTCTCCTATGAATGTCCATTAGTCTCTTTTGGAAAGAGAAATAAAACGGTTCAGGAAGTCTGCGTTTATATATACATATAAGGAGAGAACAACGATGTAAACCTAAGGAATTAATTAGGTAAATTAAAACCTTTTTGCATTGACCCTGAACACTGCATATTCTTATGTTTTCATTCAGTGAATGCAAGTCTCCACTCTTTCCTGTCTTAATATGTTCACTTCAAGGTCTCTGTAATGCCTCTTCTCAGTTTTTCTCCTCCCCTGTATAGCCTCTCCTACTCCGCTGCCTTTCAAACTGTGGTAAAAATGAATCTGAGATTATGAAAACTAGTACTTAATGAAGATCATTATTCTAATAATATTGCTGGACTCAACTCCTTATCCCAGGATCTAGAACTCCTTCTCTAGCAACCTTTCTCACAATGCCTCTAGAGAGGGGTTTCCCTCACTAACAAAGTAGGGGTCAAGTGAAAACAGTTCATCCAGTTCTCATTAATGAAGAGCTGGGATTCAGAAGTATCACTTTTCTTGAAGAAAATGGCTAATGCTATCTCTATCCATGAGATGAAACCAGAATTCCTCATTGCTCCCCAAAACCCCACTAGAAAAATTAACCTTTTAAATGCAGATGGTATTTTAAACCTTAGGATACTTCCCAGAGAAAATACCCAAGTTTGCAACAAGTATTCAAAAACAATCAGGTCCAACTGTTTTGAGGAATATAATGAAACTAGGAAGATCAAAGACTCCATCCCTAGAAGGGACATTTCTACCCTTAGGACAGACAAAATCGTAGCCACAGACAAAATGAACTCTCCTCAAGCCTGCTTCCACAGACCATATTGGGATCCAGTCAAAACCCTAGCAATGTCTAAAGACAGTAAACTTCATCTTGATTACTGTAAACAACTTTCAGTGAGTCAACCAATGGTGTTACCTCCAGATATGATGAATAACTGCAATGTCTGGTGTCTAAGCAAAAAATTGCATGTGCCTATGTATCACCTAAATAAAATTCAGATTCCCTCCCTACCCTGTTCAGTTTCCTCTCTCCCACCTCCCCTGCCCCAGTGTGTAAAACCTGTCACAAGCTTTCAGGGCCTCAGCTTAAATGAGGACAAAATAAAAACCTATCTCACAGGGTGACCTGTGGATTAAATGAGAAACGCATTTAAAATGCTTAGAACATTTCCTGGAATATAACAGGTGCTAAGTAAATTTTTTTAATTGGTGCTATTGAGTGGTTCTAGATTAACTTTGGGGCTGAGAACTCTGTATTTTAACAGCTCTGAGCCAGTTCCTCTTACTTTCTCTCAAAGTAACAGGTTTTCCCCATGCCTCATCCTTCTTTCCTTCAAAGAGCTCTAAGGTAAATAGCCAAAAGGCTAATGACACATGACAAAGGAAGATCCCTATTAAGATCAGCTTTTCCAAAGGCAACTTTTCGCAAACATTAGAAAGCAACAGGCTATTTCCTTCCCATTTTGGAAAAGATTTTAAAGTCCTGTGAGTACATTAAGGATTAAGATTAGATTCAGAATCCTAGGACTAGAAACCATATCTGCTATTGTCAATTACCTTTCCCAAGTAAGGCTGCTCCACAAACCAAAACCAAATCAAATCCAAAACGTTCCAAAGAGAGTATCTAGTTAGAAGCTTCAGATTGGCAGTTAATGGACTAACTCCTCATGCAAAAAAAAGCTGGAACTGACAATTAACAGATCTGGTAAAAGCCAAGACTGCAATATTTAGAAATACCAAAAACATTGGCCAGAGAGAGATGTTATCCTTTATTACCAGTCTCAATGCAATCAAGGAGAAAGGAAGCACACTGCCAGATCAAAGGGAACAACCCCCCTCCACCCGCTCCCCCCTTCAAAGAAACAAAAACAACCAAGCCTTTCTCTGGGGAAAGCAGAAGTAATCACCTCGCCCAAACACCCCCACCCCCAGCTCCATAACCACACCAAGGGCTTAAGCCAATTGCCTGTGGCCCATGTGGTCAGAAGTTGGGTTTGTGTTTCAGTTCTACCACCTAAACTGTCATCACTAGTTATTTCTGTTTCAACTGGCAAGGTGAGGAAGGGGAACAACAGCGAAGAAGTTTTTTTTCCTGAATACTTATTTAAGTTCCTTGACCGCTGGAACATAGCCACACAATACAAAGGGACAGGGAACAAATCCACCCATTTTCTTAGCAGACATTTAGTGCAACCAGTAGTTGAGGGTCCTTAAACACTCTGTTGTTCCTAAGAAGGGCCACGTAACCAAGATGCCAAAACTAAGTCCAAAGCCATGGAACCACATTTATCACCTTAACTCTTCTTGAAAGAAGCTGCCAGGAAGCAATGCTTAACCTACCCACACAACATTTGAGTAGAAATACCTTCCGTTTTACAACTCCTGAATGGCTGACAGAGGACATCCAAAACATAGCAAGCAAAATAGCGCAGGACACGAGAAGGAAAGACACTAAGACAGGTCAAAAATACACCAAGTGAGAAATTCAATCCAACTGGAAAACATACCCTCAGGCACTAACACTTCTCCTTTGGACACCTGTTCCTCCCTGCCCTCAGATGCCCCAAGCCCAGGGTAATGGCTGAGCTTGAAAAAAAAAGTTGGTACTTAACAGGTCATGCAAACTCGGTGAGTCTGAACCAAACCACAGAGACTGGTTCAGTGACAACATCATGCTAACAATCAAAAACATAAATTTAATTCTTACATAAAGTTATTCTGGTACAAAGGAAAAGTTCTTTTCAGTAGCTATAGCCTCTACCCCAAATACATTCCACTGGTTAAGAGGGATGTAACAGCACTAAACAACATTGTGCCAGCTACTTATCTGCATTACTATAAAAATGATACTCATTTGCAAAAAAAAAAAATCAGTACTTGTTAATGCCTGTCCAAATGTTCTGGTGAAGAGTAGGGGCAGAGCAAAAACATAGATATATCAAGTGAATACTTTTTACCCAAACTCCAACAGAAACATCTCTTCAATTTCTTCTTCATAACAGACTTCAGGATAGTTCAGAGTTCAGATAGGATTCTGTTTCTCAGAAGTCTCCAAAGAGTTAGCATATTAATACCTGCAGATTTTATGGCTCCCTCTTTCTGAGTTGGTACTCCTTCCTCTCCCTTTGATTGGCCTAGATAAAAAAAAAAAAAGAGCCTCATTGGGTCAATTTGATCTTCAACTGAGGATCCCTCCATTCCTGGTGGTGAAGAAAACAGAATAATGAAACAGGTGTTGAGGAACCTATGCATTATGTCCCCTGGGTGAGGGAAGTGAGCAGTGGTGACCTAAGACACTGATGTGACATCACAAGACCAGTTAGATTAAGCTTTAGGAAGGCTGCTCCATTCTAGACAGCAATGCCAAGAGATGGCAACACAAGGCCAGCATAAGATCAGGCTAACGTTCCAGGAGAGGGATTTGCTTCTCTAAAGATGTTTCTTAGCCCCCAGAGAAGTCTCTGAACTAGAAGCTGCCTAAAGTTCTACAGTCAGTCATCTGGTCCAGGCATATGAGCAGGTGCAGGGAACCTGGCAAGCTGGTTGTTAGACCTCTACAAAGGAACAACAGTGGTACTCAGCATTTACTCCCTAAGCTGTGTAATAAAACATCAAGCTTAGGTGCAGCCCACAAGTACTACTTGAAGCATTTCACCCTTGGCTGAGCAGTGGCAGCCTGAGCAGTGGCAGCAAGCTCTTTGCTAGACCTGAAGAGGCCCAGAATTCCTAGAGGGCTGGATAGATTTTGACTTGAACAATTTACTACAGTACATAAGGACAGGTCAGATTCAGAAAATCGAGATTTCTCCTTTGAAGTAACTTTAGTCTCTGCAACAAAGCACACAAGGATCTACTCAACTGGTCGACAGAATTAGCCCTCTACCCTCAGGCCTGACCCTGTCCTCTGCTAGCTTTCTGTTTTACTGACTTTACGTAAGTACCTCTCCTTTCCCCAGTTCCCAGCTGTTTCCTCTCACTTTTTCAGCTTCCTCACCCTCCACCCTCTCACTTCACTTTCTCTCCCTTTTAATCCAGCAGTGAATGCTCAGAGATCAGACAGTAAGTACTCAGTCCAAGCCACTGAAAATGCTCCCTGAGCATCAGGTATAAGGCAATCCCAGAAACAAGAACCCTGGAGGTCGAGATCACAATTATTTCTGCCTTTAAGTGATTCACACTTTAGGTGGAAAAGGCGTAATATATTTATTCTTCTCTTATGGAAGAATATCTTCAGACCAATTCATTAAAACTAGATTATTTGGGATAAAAAATGCCTTAGTTATGCTTCTCAGGGACAAGATATTTTCACCTGCATCAGAATTGATAACTTTTATTCCTAAAGTAGTTTGTCCAGTCATCTACAGAGCATACATAGCAAAACTCATGAAGCCTCAGGAAGGCCCCATATATATGTTCTATACACAAGTTTATTTAGCTAAAGATGAGTTACTCTGATGACTTAAGCAAAGCATATGGAAGGATCCAAGCTGGTACTACAACCCACAATTAGCCCTCTCACCAGAGAAGAGCTGAGAAAACTAAAAGGGAATCTTGACCACTAGAGGCAGATTTTGAGATTTATTCCAGAGTGATCTCCTTTAAAACCACAGGAATTTTGGGATGGAAACTTACCTGGGAAAACAGGGAGGGGAGAGGGAAAAGGGCACCACAAGTCCAACACCTCCAATCAGGAAAGCTTCATTTAGTCTCTTCGGGTTGCTCTAAGAACCTTGGTAAACACCCAGTCCTAGAGATACTGCATGGATGGTATCTAAAGAGAATCAGTTCAGATACAGCCCCAAATTCAGGCAGTGCTAATTCCAACCTAGAATGACATAGTCAAGATTTTGAAAGGCCAGCCAGGACACCCCAGGGACTAACTTTCCAGTTCATAATGAATTCTAATCAGCTTAAAAACAAAGCTTAATGTGGACTCTCTCCTTGGAAAAATGGCTCATGTGTAGAACTATGCCACAACTATTATCCTATTTCAGTAAACAAATACTTACCAAGCATCTATTAAATGCCAGGAACTATACTAGCTACTGGGATACCTTTAAGAATCTCCTCCAGTAGAGAAATCAGAACTTGAAAAGAAATAATTATAGAACAGTTAGACACTTACACAAAGTGCTTAAAGAGCACTGGAAAGAAAATAAAATTTTAAAGGGGCTACTTGCTCTGATACTATATGAGGCTTTATCTCCTTGATTCTCACATAAGTGATAAAGATTGTCACCCAGGGTTGCTGAATATCAAAACTGATGCCTAAGAGGTTGTATGCTCAGGGCTGAGTGTAATGCAGACTATTATTCCAAATTAGAAAGTGCCATGTCACCATGCATTGGCTTTTAAAACTCTTCTACCTACAGTGGTAAAGCAGTTCAATCCGGTTTTGAATTTCAGATCTATTTTGCTAACACTAATTTGCTAACAAAACAAATGCTGATGTTTGTAAACATTTACTCATTCACAGGATTCTTTTTTGCTACTGTTCTTCATGAGGCTGCTGCCTAGAAAGAGTGGCTAGCCAAGCCCAGGCTGCTGTCTGACCTGCTGTCCCGTGGGGCCAGCCTGACCAGCAAGGGTCCAAAGAGGGCAAGGGCCTCTCTGATGCTGGCCGTGCACTGCATACTGGAAGACCAGGGAGCTAGGCACACCACTTTCTTGCTACTGGGCTCTGGGCCATGGCCGCTGTAACTAGATTAACACCAGCTTTCAAACAGCCCTCAGCAACCCAGATAAGAACATGAATCAAAGACAGTACCATGGGACACCCTGGTGGCATCAGGTGGACATTACAGGTGATGATCACTTTGGTCAAAGACTTCTCTTCCCCACAGCAACGTCCCCACTGGAAAAAGCTGCTTAAAAACAGCAATGTAATAGTGAAGTAAACAGGAATTTGTCACTAGAAGATGTGGATTCAAGTTCTGGGCCTGTCACTTTAACATCTCTGAGCTCATTCCTCAAACTGCAAAATGAGGCTAATACCATTTGAGGATTAAAAGGAGTCAAAGCACTCCA